CTCTGGCGGCTCGTCTCTTTTGTCGGCACGCCAAGTAGGAGGCGCGACAGACGCGCCACTGGGCCGCTTTTCTTCGGGGACCGGGCTGAAACGTAGACGAGGCCGCGAGTTTTCCTTTCGCGGCTCCTCTGCCGGCGCCTTCGAAGGTCTTTCTTCGTCCATGCCGCCATACAGCTGGTACCCAATGGCGAATTGCCGCAGCCACTTGACGTAGCGAAACACGTCTGACTTGAGCACTTTGTTCTGCTGCAGTTGCAGCTGCTTCGTCACGGCCAGCTGGAGCGGTGCTGGCTAGATCGCCTTGGTGATGATTCCCACCACCAACTTCCCCTCCTGATGGAGTACCCACTCTTGGCCGTCCTCCTCGAGGGTTTTCATCAAATTGTCGAGCATTCGACTCACTCGACAGTCGGCGTCGAGGATCTTGGTGTCCAACTGTACGGCCACCTGAAGACGCTTCTTCAGCGCGTCCAACTCAACGGGTTCGTCATCGTGGGCCTCCATGAACCAGGACACCCACTCGTCTTCTGTCACATCGCCATGTGACTTCCCAAAGTCAAACATAGCGATGTGTCGCTTTGAAAACAGGTCCATACACGCGCCGACTGGCATCAAAAACGGACATTGGCCCGTTGATTGCAGTGCCATGATTTGCGACGTGTATCGCTGGTATTCTCGCATAAACGCACGACGCTCCGCTTTCGTCGATCCCTTGAAAGAGGGTGGCAACGGTAAAGCCGGTGCGTTCAGTACTTTCACGGCTTCGTCTTCGCCCATGTCCACGTCACCAGGTGCACTCGCACCCGCAGATGATGCGTCAGGCAGCTGCACTTCCGCCGCTGCTCGCGTTGGCACAGCCGATGGCGTCCAACTTGACGTCACCCCCACTCCACCTTGGACACCAAACCCCATCCGATCAACGGGTTGGGGTTGGTTTCTTCGAGGAGAGCCGAAAGGCCCACGGAAACGTCCGCGACCTTCGCGCCCTCGTGGCGCCATACGCACTGTGTCGTCGTCGCGCTCCGGCGACCGAGACTTGCGGCTTGACGGCTCCACTTCCGTATCACTCATTGCTTCAGATCGATACGTGCTCTAAAGAATTCTTAGTTCCGCACCCCGCACTGTCGATGCTCCGTCGACCAGCACAGCAACCACAACGGTGGCTAGACTCACAATGCAAACTGACTGGTATTAACCTTTTATACTAACCAGTCGTCGATATCAGCCACGCGTCGAAACCAGACGGTTCTCGACCTCCCATGTAGGTGCGGTGTGCCCTCGATCATTTCCAAGGGCACACGACGCACTTCTGCGGACGCGGCAGAACACTTGGTCGTTGAATACTTCTTGTCTTATAAAACACCCAAAGGGCGATGTCCCCCATTCATCATTTCTCGTTTTCACTTATTGGCATGAAGTTGCTTGCTGCTCTCGTCCACGCCGCCGCCGCCGCGTCCCAAGTCGAGGTGGTGTTTGACAGCCTCGCGCCCCTGGATAAGGGGGACAAGGGCTCCCCCATCTCCAAAGCCCGATCCGTGGCGGTTCAATTCCCCAGATTCCCGGCATCGCATGTGCGTTGTAGCACCGCTGGATTGACCCTTGAATATGTCAACTTTACCCTCGGCACGCTCGACATTCCCACCGACGAGTCACTGTGGATGCAAACTGAATTGTGCCCTTCCGAAACGGTAACCAATCCCTCCCATTTATACACTCATCTCCTATAGCTCCGTCTTTTAAACTAATACAACTTCCGGAGTTTCCTTCTAGGTTTGCCCCACTGCACCAATTCCGACGACCTCGAGCGCATCCCCATCCAAACCATCGCCAAACGTGTCACGTTCCAAGTGTTCCCACCGTCCCCTATTGTACTTGAACCCGCCACCACGTACTGGTTCACGGTGCACTCGAACGGCAAAACCAAGAACAAATCGCCCATCTGGTTGGACGGCACCAAGACGTTCTCGACCAAGAACGATCCCTCGAAGGAAATGCTCGTTGCGTACACCGAAGGCGACACATGGGCCGTGGCAGCCGCCCCCACCGAGGACCGCTTCGTGCCGTCGCTCCAAGTATATGCTAGCAAAACTACTAACTACTTGCGCATGGATGTGTCGTGCCGTCAGCTGTGTTTGTTTGGGGACTCAATAACGAGGGGAAGCAGTGTACTGTTGCCACCAGCCTTGAAAGTGGGCGGGGGGATAGAATCGGGCCAATACTACACTGCGACTTGTACTCATTAGCTACCGCCGGATGGCTCAAATCGAGTTTGGTGTCTAATTGTTTCTTTGCCAATAATCAAGGTTTTGGCTACGAAGAATGCACACTCTAGTTTACCTTGGAGAATAGTCACGTGCCACTCATTGCCAAGAATCGAAACGAACCGAAGCCCCTATCTCCATATAACAGTCGTTCGTAAAGGCTGCAAACGTTGCAGCAATTTCGTTTGATGACTTGCTGACTGTATTCACTGGATCAAATCCATTAACTGGGTAAATAAAAGACATGCCAATGATGGTCGCATTATTCTGTTGTCGCTTCAACCAGTATACGATGTCCTTTTGATAATGCTTCCAGGGCAGGCACCATAGTGGACGACCACATCACGCTCTTCGTCTGGTCGGGACACGATATACGAACGTGCGCGGCTCGCCTATGTATCGTAGGTCGGCCTCGTTCGATCCTGCTAAACGTGTGGCTATGAACAACATTCCATTCCAACGGGAATGCCCCAACACTAAACAAACTTTAGTGGATGCTTGTGTTATGTGACGGTGGGGGCGTATTTTGCTAGAAATTTCTGGCTGGTCCGAGGCTGCTTGGGCTGTGCGGTGGTGGAACTTGCCGTAGCGATTTTGTACTTGGACGATATGGACTGCAGCCTGTCGCTCGAGTACTGCCACGTCGGGTCAGTTGGAGGATTGATGTTGTTGGACAACTCGAGTCGAGTGGCAGGGCCCCATCGAATGGCCAGGAGGCCATTGAGCAGCACCCGAGCGCAACTGGACTCGACATGTCGAAAGCTACTGTCGGAACCCAGGCGAAGGCACCCCTCACACGTAGTTACTACTTGGCTTATACTTACAAAGCTATTTAGACAAGACATATCGACGTCTTTCGCTCATCACTAATATCTACCCTCCCATAGCAGCTCCGTTAGTCGCCAAAACGATTTCAAGTGCTGACTATGAATTTGCGATGACACTTACGATACGACCATTTGTGGGGGACAAAAACTACCTTGTCCATTTCGTGGGGGCTTCGAGCTTACTCACTTTCAATATTGGGCAGCTATGGTGCACCTTCGAAGGACTACTTTTCGGTCGTAGTGTTTCATGCTTAACGTTAGCCGCCTCTGAAAACGGGTGTAGACGCGTGCGTTTTGGGGTATTTACTCGTGTCGTGAATTTTGAGCAGTTTTCGCGGGATAAACTCGTGCTTGGGGTTTTCACGCTTGCTTGGGTGCACTTGTCGAGGTAGTCGTACAGTGAGGGGAGGATGATGTGATGGCAACGGTAAGCCTGGGTGCCGAGATGCAAAATCCAAGCGATAATCGGGAGCCACCTTCGATAGTAAATCAGCGGCTTAGTTTTTGTCCCGAGTGCGGTGCTTGAAGGTGCAATCGACCTTGGCCGTAAGGGTACGGGCTTCCATGTAGAGGGCGCGGAGACCTGGGTGGCGGACTCGGTTGAGGCCCCAGGTTGCTGTGCCCGCATATCTCCAGGTCCTGAAGGTTCATCGCCTGGGCTAGACGTAGTGCCCCGAGAAGTCCATCATATTCCGCTTGACTGTTCGTGGTGGGATCCGGGAGAAACCGAGCCAGGAAATAACATGCCAGAGATTCCCCATATGGCATAGCAATCGAGCCTGAACCTCCACACGCATCATCTGTGCGTGCCGCTCCATCAAAGACGATCATCCCCCTCTGAACCGGGGAGGGGTCCCACGGGACTGAACGCCCGTGACGGTGTGCATTGGAACATCTCGCCGCGATTGTTCTGTACACTGTGGCTCGCAGGCGTTCGTTGCCTGCGTTTGGCGTGCAATGTTGCGAGGGCTGTGACGTGTGCGGAGGCTAGTGCCGCCAGGCCGGGGGTGGTCGGGTGGGTGGAATCTGTGGCCCTATGGGCTTTCCAACGTTCTGTCCATAGTTGTATTAGTGCCAGTGTGCGTAGTCGGAGCCAGGCTTGATAGCATATTTGGTTATACGCAGTGCCATGGGTAGCCCATTTTGGTGCTTGGAGGCACCAATAAGCTGCGCGTGGTTGTTCCGCCGTGAAGAAAGAGTGTTTGTGGTAGAAGGGACTAGCGGCCGATGCACCGTACCAGATATCCAACAAGCCGCTCCACATATCCTGTGCTCTCGAGCACTGCCAGAAGGTATGTGCGATGCTGTCTTCGCGGCCGCAGAAGGGACAAGTAGGAGGAGGTGCTGATGTCTGGAAACGGAAGGCCTGGAGGTGCCATCTGTATTGGAATCATTGAAGATCCCCATAGAGTGGGTGGAGACGCCAGGTTTCGGTCCAAGCTTCGGATGAGTGTGGCATAGCGATGGTCGCGAAGAAGCGAAGTCTGCGGTCCTCATACTTTGGGTGGAGCTGTGTACTGGGGTGGACGTAGCTATGGATATGCGTGCTAAGGTGTTTCACAAAGAGAAGGCGGCGGGTTAGCAGAGTTCGAGGCGGTGGGCGCGGGAACCATGATCTGCTGCGGGGAATCGGCATGGGGGCGAGGTCTTGCATTCCCAGGCCGATGCTGAGCATGAATAGCCTGGGCAGACGTGCCTTGTCCATGTTCGTCGGGAAATGGCGGGGAACGAAGGTCCAAGGAGCCGCCGAGCATGACGCGAAAGCGTGCGCAAAAGAGTCGTATCCCTGGGCTGTGAGGGTCTTGTCCTGGTGATCGCGGATCCACTCGTTGTGTTCCAACGGTTGGTGCCATAGCATTTGCCGCCACTGGGGGGGTTACCCGGGCTAGTTGGAGGTGAACGATGCGTGCTGCCTCAGCAAGCTCGGGAGGCATATAACAGTGGCATCTCCCATCTCTTTCCCACACGTAGGTGCACGCTGTGCGGGCCGTGAGAAGGAAGGCTTGTATAGCGTCCCGGTCTACTTGGTCCCTGGGCCACGCATCTGCTAAAGTGCCCGACTTGCAAGACGTTGTCCGTATAGCAGAGAGTCCCCCGTCCAGCTGACTTTGCGCAATGAGGGATGGAGGGTATACCTGATACCCCCGTCCATCTGGAGTGACGTAAGTGCAACACCGCTGGGCCATCGACCCGGCCCCGTGCTTGCCCTGACGTACCTCCTCAGGGCTTGTTGATCTGCGATGTGGCGTATGTTCGGGAGGGCCCATCCATCGGCCGACCGCGAGCGGACGGATCTGGGGACGTGGGATGGCAAGCGGTCAGGTCGTGGTGTGGTAATCCCCCACCACCAGAATCGCCATACGAGTTGGTCAACCTTCCTTGCCCATCTTTCAGAGGGCACATAATTGGTGGCCATAAACGCTATCTTGGGTTGCACTATGGACTAGAGGATCTGCGCCCGTGATGGGAGGGAAGTTGTCTTGGAGCTGGCGACCCGCAGACGCCGTTCCGTGGATTGTAGGCATGCATCCCAATTGTCATCGACCAGGTCGCCTAAGCCCACCTGAAGCCCCAAATACCTCCGGCGCATCCGTCCGTGGATGAAGGGAATGCCATGGGCCTCGGAGTCCCGGACGGCCGTATTGAGGCATAGCCCGAAGGACTTATGGTGTTGCACCTTGAGTCCTGATATGTCTCCGAATCGGCGGAGCACGTCCAGTACGAGAGGCAGTAAGTCGAGGCGGCGAAGGTATATGGCCGTGTCATCCACATGTGCATTGCAGCAAAGGGGAACCACGTCAGGGCCGTCCTCGAGTAGGATACCGTGTTACCATGCCAGACCCTGAAGGGATGCCAGCAGGGGCTCCATCCCAAGGATGAAAAGGTCCTGCCCGGTACAAAGCCTTGTTGTTGGTCGCCTATGATTTTGGAAAGGAGGGGTTGGAGCCGTAGCGACAGCACCTGGGCAAATAGCTTGTACGAGGAGTTCAGCCAGGCAAATGGACGGTAGTCCATCGCGGATACGCTATTTCCTGCTTTCTTCAGCGGGATGACATCGGCATCCGCCAAGCTAGCCGTCATGAGGCCGCCCGCCAAAATACTGTTAAACAGGTCGAGGAGGATGGGGGTCAGGGCGTCCTGGAAGTGTCTGTAAAAGCTGTTAGGAAGGCTGTCCGGCCCTGGGGACTTGGATCTGTTTAACCGTCCCAACGCCGTTAGGAGCTCCGATGTGGTACACGGGGATAGCAGATGGTTGGTAGAACATTCCCTTGGACCGACGCGAGCATGTTCCCATGGTGCGCTTCGATATGCGTTTTGCCCTCCAAGATCGTCCGATGTGAACTGGACATAGTGGAGACCCAGCCGTTGGCCATGTTGTCAGCGAAATTTCCCAGGGGATACCCTGGGGGGGTTCGATATCCGGGATTGTCCCGTCGTCCCACTTGTCTGTGAAACGATGGAAGAAGTTTCGGGATGGGGATGCGCCTCCGACCATATGTTTGCCAATGCGGTACTCGTTGATCTCTCGGAGGTGCGCTGCCGTCGAGTCAATAATTTCTGCGCGTTGGCATGGATCGTCAAGTGGAATCAGCGTTGGTGGGGGGGACGTTCGCTGTGGCGAAGTCGCAGCAGCAGCTTCCGTGTCGAGGTGCAAAGATCGTCCCATTGTTGCCCCATGCTCTCTGGTGTCGAAGTATCCCAATTGAACGTAGTCAAATGCTCCAGAAGCATACGGCAGATGACGCGTGGAGTATTGGTCCGAAGCGGGTAAAAGCGCGGACGGTCATTACACCTGGGCTGGGAGTGTCCCACGCTCAGGCCTACGGCATTGTGGTCGCTGCGCTGACCAGGGGTGTACACTGTAACCGCATTGACCAGTGCACCGAGGGATTGGGAGACGTAGAATCGATCGATGCGAGAGCTTGAGTTGGACTGTGGTCTGACACATGTGGTGGTCTGTCGATGGAACTCGAGACATGTCGGTAGATGGATGGCGTCGAGTTTGCCAGACGCTGTCCTCCAGTCGTCGGTGAGTGATTGTGTTGCTTCCCACGCCAGTGCCAACACAAACAACCAAATGGGGGAGTGCCGACTCCCTGCAAACCGCACACTTGATTGACTTGATGTTACCACGGCGTTGCAGAACCAAGAGTGAGATTCTGGCAGTTGGCTGGGACAGGTGTTCTGTTTTCTACGTCCTAGTACTACTAGTAATACTACTAGTAATACTATGCCTTTTCGTGTCGGTTCGCCGGACCACCTGTGTCATGGCGGGACTTGGATTAAGTCGCCCACCACAACACCCCCCCAAGCCATGTCCCGCAGGACACACTTGGGCCTCGCTAATTCATCGCCTTCGCTCGCTTCATCGCCTTGCGCAATGCATCGCCTTCGCTCGCTGTCTTCACGCCTTCAACATAGTTCTTCACCACGGCCGGGCATTCATGCATGAGCTTCTGCAGCGGTTCCCATGAGGAGTGGATATCCTCAAAACCTTCCCAAAGCACTTCCAGCATGAAGTCTTTCACATCCAGGACAAACTTGTGTCCCGCGATGGACTTGACCTTCACCATGATCCCTTGCTCGGAAACGTGTTCGATGATTTCTTCGGTCACTTCAAAGCTGTCTTCGGCGTAGAGCTTGACTCTTGATGCGTGCGCTTCCCGTAGTTCATGGGTCACCAAGTGCTCCAAAACGACGGAGAATTCGCCCACTTCCATGACTCGGTAGGGGCCCGTCCAGGTTACGGACAACTTGGGATGATAGCGTTCGTCGACTCGGGACCAGAGCACATTGTCGCCTTCGCTGACATTGCACTGTTCGTATTTCTCGGTCGCTTTCGTCGCTTTCGCCGCGCGCATCGCATTCTTGTCTAGGACTTCTTTGTGCATGACTTGCAGGCTAGCACGCAGCTTGTCCAGGTTTTTGGGGATGTCCTTGACCGTCCAGTCGCTCTCTCGGAGTTCCTTGTTCATGCCCACCACAACGACATCCAGGGGAGTCGCCGGGTTCAAAGCCGTGAACAGCATCATCGGCGACTTGCTCGCCAGTGATGCTGCCGGTGTTTGGTTGAGGTTGGCTTGGACCACTGGCAATAGGTAGTCCCATTCCTGTTCGGCTAGTTGGTACTCTCGCAGCATGACCCGCATCACTTGAAGGATGTCGCGGTTCATTCGCTCCACCGTTCCATTGCGCCAGGGGCAGTAGGCCAAGGTTAGGTCATGATGGACCTTGAACTTGTGGGCTAGCGCCTTCATGGCCACGTTTTTGAAATGAGTTCCTTGGTCACTGACCCAGACTCGTGGCATTCCGAACCGCTTCGTCCAGTCCACCAGGGCATCCACACATACTTGGCTCGTGGGTCCGTCGCATGCAATGAGTTCGCAGTAGTGGGTAAGGTCGTCTTTGAGTACCAGCACATACTTAGCGCCGCTGAACGCTTCGCCCATGTAGAGGTAGTCGAAGTGGATTCCTTCGTTGCGTTCTTTCGCGTGCCATCTCGGAGCATACGGTCGATGGACCACCCTTCCCCCTTTTACTTGAGGGCACAACAAGTAGCCACGGAGGACTTCACTGGCCCTGTCGGCCAAGTGGTCGACATAGAACAGGCAGCGGATAGTAGCCACCAGCGCTGCATGTCCACGGTGCCCGGCGCTGCCGCAGTGGGCAACGACCATGATCCGTTGGATCAGGTCATTCGCCGCACTCGGTATCCATAGCCGCTCGTCCACTTGCCACAGTCCGTCCACCACGGTAGCTTGCTTTGGTTTGGTTTCGCCATGCTGGTCTTGTGCGTGACGGATGTCTAGCACACATGGCCACACAAAGTCTTTGTCCAGCGGTCGCAGTTTTGGTTGTGCCGGTGGAGGGACTTTGCGCGCTTTGACTTTCTTTGACCAGCCATGGCCCCGACGTATTTTGACCCGCTTGGTCGCCAGACTTGGTGTCGGCTAACCCCAACGGCTCATCATATCCGCCCAAAGGTTGTGGATGCCGTCGATGTGTATGATTTCATAAC